TATTAAGTCAAATTATATGGAGTGTAGTACTGTATGAAGATTGTGTGCACACAGCTGCATCTCTCATGTGCAGACGAGTGTATATCGTGAATAGATGAAATGATGAAATCACTTTATATTACCCTCACTATTTTCAGTCATGGAAGTACAGCTCCCATGAAAATGATTGGAGAAACACTGCAATCTCAAAAGCTACTTGCAAGACTTTCATTTCAATAACATTTTTCAAATCCACAATAAAAGCTGACTGGTATATAAAACGTTTCTTACTCTCAGATAACACTAAAATGTATATATTTCACACACGTTAGGTCATTCACAAGCTCATTTAAGGGCTGTTTTAAAATAACTAAATATAGAGGGTAACACTTGAGATTACGGAACACGTATTCACTATTAATTACAAATTTTCCCCCAATAAACTCTTAAATTACTGCATATTGATAGTAAGGTGGATGTTGTTGTAGTACTTATGTTTGGCCGATAATCAGTTTTACCGATATTTTCCCCCCGATATGTAAACAATCTTCCATTATCGGATATCGGTTTTATAATATCTTTGTCATGAGTCTGGGCCCTGCGTTTCTCCCTCTCTCCTACAGAGGGCGCCATCTCCCGGACTATATTAAACAAACACCATACACCTTTTCACTCATTACACTAATTCCCCAAACTCCATACACCTGTTCACTCATTACACTAATTCCCCAAATTCCATACACCTGTTCAGTCATTCACTCATTACACTCACCCTCGGCTGTTCCCCATGGTCACAGACTATATCTTCTCCTCTCACTCACCACTCTGCCTGGCTGTATTGTAAATGTATTGGTATTTGTTGTCCCTAGATCTGTTTTGTTTTGCCTTGTTGGCCTTTCTGTTCATTAAAAAGAAGTTTTCACCTGCATGTGGACCCAGACCGTTTCTCCTCGGTGTTTCGTACCGGGCCGTGACAGAATACAGCCAGCAAACATGGGTCCAGCAGGGAGGTTTCTCAACGTCCGCCAGGGAGACCAGAGCATTGAGGATTACGCCAGGGACTTTGTGGGAGTGGCTCGCCAGTCGGCCACGGAAAAGACCTGCCTCATTGTCTTTTTCTGGGGAGGCCTAGCCGAGCCCTTCAAGTCCCTGATGCCATACTGGGTCCTCGAGGAGTCGCTGGAGGACTATATCAACCTGGCCCTGCATTTGAGCAGCTCCGCCTTCAGGGTGGCGTTAGCTGCGGAGCCCGCTCACAGTCCTCCCGGAGCGGCAATCCACAGGGCGTCAAAGGCCTCGTCTGCCGCACCCAGTACCTCACGGCCGTTCCCGGAGCGTCCCGGGCTGATACGCAGCGTGCAGGAATCCCCGCTGATGTCGGTGCGAGCGGCGTGGTCAGCTCGCAAGGCTCCCGAGGCGTCGGGGCCCGCTGAGGTTCCCTCCGAGGAGGGGGGGTTCG